TTAAAACTTGGTATTTCCTTCAATCATTTAAAAATATTATTCCGAGAAGGAGTTCATAGGCTTCATTCATCAGGCTGACAGGAAGGTCCATAATGTAACAAAGATTGAGAACCCAGAGTCTCTGTGTCATGTATACATATGGTATGGGGTTCTCCAGCCAATGTTATAGGCCTAGAGGTGACCTGAAGGCTGGAGATGCTGTCAGCCCTGCTCATGTACAAGGTTCCTGCCCTGACAGCTCAGGCAAGGCTGGGATGAGGATCAAAGATCAGGCAGCAAGGCTTCAGGATGCAGGAGCAGCTGTGTGGGGGATGGGAAGAAGGGAAATGCTGACTGTTGGCTGAGAGGAAACCCGCCAATATGGGAATCTTGCTTGTGTGAATGTGTGTCTGTGTGTGTGCTTTAATAGATGTCAAATAATGCCAATACCTCACATTTGTGTTAACATTTGGCAATTTTCAAAAGGCTTTCCCATTTGCTTCTCACTCTACCCTTTGGAGTTGGAGGTTAGGCAAGGCCAGAATAATTATTTACATTTTATGGGTGAGAAAATTGAGGTCCAGAAAATCCAAAGTGACTTTGCCAGGGTTAGAGAAGTAGAACCCAGGGCTCCTACTGCTTTGCCTCATTACCAACTTAAGCTATTTAGGGAAAAGAAAAGCTCTGGTCTCATTCCAGGGGCATTTGAACCCTGGCCCAGCGTGGCTCTGCTCTTTGCTCCCAAATGGGGCCTGCCTGTATCTTTTCTAATGCTTTCAACCCTTGTCTGATGATTTCCAATGCCTATGGTCTCCTACTGGCCTCCTTCTGCTGGCCTGAGAAACAATAGCCTTAGCCACTGACATATAGAGATGGGCCCTTGTGGCCCCATTTGGGGTACAATGTTCCAGATATTCCTTTTTCTGAAGGAAATAAGACCAAACTTAATGAGGTCTCATTGAGTGTGAGGATATCACTTGTTCCATGCTTCTTTGAGGGGCTAGAAGCAATTAGATAAAGTCCCCGCAGACCTCTGGCCTATGGGCAAAAGAATCAAAAACCTGAGGGGATTGTCCTTATCCAGAGACTCTTGCTACATCATTTTTCTGCCCAACCAAGCCTTACTCTAGGCACCAGCTTTCTGAACCTAGGAGAGATCCAAGATGGCACCCATGGGACATAATAAGCCTAGCCCAAAGGGTTAATCTGAGGCTTTGGGAGGTGGTTGAAAAATGGGAGTCCATGGAATTGCTACAGCTGGTTTGAAGGCAGTGGGAGCCTCAGCCAATCTTGGCAGATAGCTCTGCATAATTCCCTGCAGATGCTGGTGGAGGAGGGTTTCAGGAATGAGTTGGGAGAGGGTCCATGTCTGTGTCTGTGTGGGCGGGAAGCTGGACTGGTGGGGGAGGAATAGATGGAGCCTTATGCTGGTCCAGGGCAACTTCAACTGTTGGCGGTATTTCTCTTTCATATTCTTGCTTGGATGTGTGATTTTCCCAGCACCTCACTGTGTCAGATAAGCCAGGAGTGAGGAAGGGAGGAAGCAGGGCAATGGCCCCCACTGAGTTCCCTCCTCACAAGCTTGTCAGTAAATAGAGAGAGGGACCTATCTAATGTTGAGTAGTGGAGAGCCAGCTCTCCTTCCCCAATTCTAACCACAGGCTGGTAGACCCTACAGAGCAATGCCAGGCAAGGTAGCGAGCCAGGGGAGGGTAGCTTTTGGGACCCAACTCCTAGTCAGAGCTGGTCTAGGAAATTCATAATTGAAGTCCTTAGTTCATGCAATGATAGGATGTCAGAATTGGAAGGAACCCAAGAGAACATCTTACAGATGAGGAAATAGTCCCAGAGAGGGGGACCTAGCTTTTCTAAGGTCACACAATCAGTGACAGAGCTGGGATTAGAACCCAAAGCTCCTGACTTCATTTCTACCATATTGTGAATCCTTTGCAGAGTTGAAATCAGATGCCTATGAAGCTTCCCTAGAAGTTGGAAATTCCCAGGAAATAAACCAAGACTCCCTGTTGCCTTATTCATGCTCTTCATCTCAGCCCTATATAAGCATCTGCCACAGAGCAACAATGAGGGAAAGAGGAGGTGGGCCATGCCCTGAGGAAAGGTTGATCTTTATCCAGTAAGCCCACTAGATTAGAATTTCATTGTGTCTTACCTAGTAAGACAGCCCCAAAACCAAATTCTCTGTGTGGTATCATGGAGAGAACCTTGTGCTGGGAGTTAGGAGCCCTGTGTCCTAGTCCTGATTCTGCTGCTTACTAGCTGGGTGACCCTGAGCGAGCTACTTCCTTTGTCTTGGTCTCAGTTACCTCACCTGAAAATGACAGGGCAGCACTAGATTGGGGATTCTTAACTGGGGGTCCACAGACCCTCCCAAGGGATCTGTAGACAGATTTTAGGGGGGTTATTAACTTAAGGAAAAATACATCTCTATTTTCATTAACCTTTGGTTTCCTTTGTAATCTTATGTATTTTGTTTTATGCATTTTAAAAGGTTATTTTGAGAAAGGTCCATAGGCTCCACCAGATTGCCAAAGGGGTCCATAACACCCCTCAAAAAAATTAAAGTCCTTTCCTTAAAGTCCTTCACTGATTTCTTTTGGTTCTGTGATCTTCATTATTTTCACAACCACCACATGGGGTAGGACTGGGGAGGCAGGAGAAGGTTCTGGACAAGTCAAGGCCTAGAGAAGGTAGGCAGCATCCCTCAGAGAGTATGACAAGTTAGCAAGACAGCTGAAACAACCTCAAAATCCCCAACTCACCTAATCCATTCCTTGGCATAACTGTGAAACTGAGTCCCAAGACGCCATCTTAAGGACCTTGGGACACAAAAGCCCTTCTGTTGAGAACTGGTCCTGACACAGGAGCCTGCAGCTCCAAGTGGGAGGCCAATGCATAAGAGATATATGCTACTTAAGATGTATCCCTGGAGGGAACTCTGGCTTTTAACCCACAAAGACCTTGTTGGAGCAGTAACTAAATGGTGAAAGAAATATTCATGCTAACGCAGCCCGGGCCTGGGCTTACATATATGGCTGACATAGCCTGATTTCTGTTTTGTTAAGAGCATCTTCCATTTATAGTATTCTTTAAAGCTTAGGAGGCACATTCCTCACAACAACCTTGAGAGGTAGGTAGTATTGGTATTGTGCTACCCAGTTACACAGCAAATCTTCTAGAGGTGAAGGGGATTTGCCTGTGAACACAGAGCTAGTGTCAGAGCTTTGTTTGGAACCAGGTACCTCCTGACTCTTTTACATTACGTCATGCTGCCTCTCATAGTAGACACAGATATTTTGGTAATGTGTGGGAGGCCCATCCTTGGAGCAAAGAAGAGGTTTAAACTCCAAATATCCTATTTGAAGGAGGGCGGAAAAGCACAGCTGGTCTATTAGGAGTTCTTCAAACATAGGGAGCCCTAAAGGTTTTTGCTCCCCTTATCTCTCCATGAGCAGTCACAAAGCACTTGTTGGCCTCCTTTCCCCATCCCCAACCATGGCTCCAAGAACATCTGATTTTCAGCTCTTCCCAGATCTGCTTCTGACATTCTCTGCAACTCTCTCTCTTCCCATGTGTTCTCCATGTTGCTCCTTAAAAATTGGAGCCATGAATGAGGAGCTGTTCTCAGCAACTTGGCTAAGGGCCGGCCTTCTGTGGCTGCTGCCATCGGTGGACGTCACAGCAGGAAAATCTGCCTTCTGGTGTGGAGGGGAGGGGTATTACTTTCTTACTAAATTTAAACTCCTGGGTGGTGAGTGACTGAAGGGGCTAGTTCCAGATTTCTGTTGGGTCAGAGAACATTTGCCCAAACAGGAATGTTTCACCAGGAACTAGTAGTGTCAGTCAAGAGTAGAAAAAAGGAAGTCTCTCCATGGATAATTCTAAGATTGATCCCTCATTCCCAGCTCTTCTCCCAAGTCCCCCCCCCCCCCCGCCCCATCATTCTCTCAGTGTTAGGCCCATTTTGACTCAAGCCACTTCACCTGTCTATGATGTACTCTTTCTCCCACCCCACTGCAATCAGAACCCATCTGTCCTTCAAGCTGCAGGACAAGGACTGTCTCCTCCAGGAAGCTTTCCTTGACCATCCAAGTCCACATTAATGTCTCTGTCTTCTAAACTCCTACAGCACTTATAATTAAGCACTTGATTGTATGCTATTGTGTGTTATATATCCTGGCTCCTTCCTTTATAACTGACTAAATAAGCAAATCACTGAGCATGTCTGGGCATCAGTTTGCTCAACTGTCCAGTAAGAGGATTGGACTCCAAGGCTCCTTCCTATCTAAATCTGTGATTCTGACCCCCAAGCCCTTGTCAAGGCTAGCCCATTTGTTCGAGAGAACTTAGCCATTCTCTAGCACTCCCCACCTGTTTGTTCCTGCTCATGTCCTCCTTGTCCTGGAAACCTTCCTAGATTAACTCCAAGCATGTTCCAAATGCTGGCTCCCTCAACACACTTGGATAATTATCATACAGTAAAAACCTCTCTAATTCAACCTTTCTTGGTTGAGAACCCATGATAATTTGGACTCAACAGGGTTGTTGTAAGGATGATGTTTTGTAAACTGTAATGAGTGCAAATTATCATTATTATCCCAAAATATCTCAGAAAGGACCCTGAACCTAGTTGGGAGAGGGTCTGTATTTTTGTTTGGATTTTGGTCCAGACATGATTTCATAGTTTAGCAAACTGAAGCGCAGAAGCTCTCTCTACTGATGTTAAGTAGGCTTCAGTTTTTTAACTTGGTGGCCTCAGAGAGTTGCCTGGGGTCTAGAGAAATTCACCAGCCTGCCCAGAGATAGCTTAGACTCCTCCTATCTTCCTGACTCTAAGGCCAACGCTGTCTACTACACTGTGGCAGCTCTTCTGTCTGTAGTTCATTGTCTGAATCCCAGCTTTCTTGGCCCCTATTCCCTCCTCTCTCACTGTCTCCTCCCCAGCTGCTGTTGTGTGAGCTGTCCCCCTCATGATTTTGGCTTCTCTCGTGTCATTCCTCCAGGTTGGTGGTTTGTGAGCACATCTGAAGAGCAAGGTTGGGTCCCAGCCACATACCTGGAATCCCAGAATGGTACTCGGGATGACTCAGAGATCAACACCTCCAAAGCTGGGGAAGGTAAGGCAAGACTGGGAGAAGGAAGGGGTGAGGATTTGGGTCCTCAGGAATTGGTGACATCCTTATCAGAAGAAACTGAACTTGGTGTGTCTGGGCAGTTCCAGTCTCCATCATAGAAAGGCAGCCAGACTTCAGCCTTTACTGAATAAAACCAATCTGAATCTACCTGCTAGCCAAGGCCCTATTGAAAGAAAATGGGCCACTTCTGTGACCCACCTCTACCCCACTAGTGCAGTGGGACAGTTGTCCAGATCCCTGTACAAAGAACAGGGGCATACCAAAAACCTCACATAGGCCTCATACCCGGGTCCCCTCCCTCTCCTTCCTTTGACTCTTGAATCACTGAGCACTCAGGTCAAGGAAGAATTGCAGACCCACGTCCACATTTCTCCTTTCCTACTTCTTCTGTTCCCCTGCTCTCCTTCCAAACTTTTGCCAATTCCTGTCTTTCCTGACCAGCCTCCACATGCTCTCAGTACCATCTCCTTTTTACATGTCGCTGAGCTGTCAGACAGGCTTGAAGGAGAGAGTGGAGATCCTCTGAGATCCCATGGTCATTACCACATATATAGATGGGGGAGATGACCCTGAGACTGTCTTCCCATGATCTCACCCTCCCCACAGGCCTTGAACCATCCCTTTCAGAATCTTCTCCCTTTATTCTTTCCTACCTGGTCTGGCTACCTTCAGTATTTTTTTCTTCCTCTTTGATGGAAACCATGTCCTCCTCAAACTTCCCGACTGATGAACCTTACACCCTCCCCTCTGAATTCCTGTGAAATTTACATTATTCCACAGTGGCTGTAAACCAGAGCCAGACACTCCTTCTTTGCATGGCTTCCTTGCTTCCCCTAATGCTAGAACCAGCAGATTCTGAGAAAGAAATCCAAGAGAATGTTCTTTTTACCCTAGTGCTGCCTGCCTGCCACATGGGCAGCTGCTGGGTATGTGGGCAAGAAAGCGTGTGTGTGTGTGTGTATGTATTCATGTATGTGTGTGTGTGTGTGTGTAGATGGATGTGTGTGTCTTGTGTGTGTGTGCAAACATGTGCTTTTTGTTGCAAATTAGTTTTGTCTTGCTCGGAAGCATCTGACGTGAGCCACCATGGAAAGGCCAGATACAAAGACGGCCAACCAGCCTAGATGAGGCTTTTCTTGGTCTACTCTGGGAACTTCATGTTTAGTAAAATTATAGCTTCTTGGTTTAACTTTGGCTGGTTGAGATTTAGACCTAGAGAAAGCTCTGTCTGGATCTTTCTTCTTCAGTTTCAAAGAGATTCTTCTATACAATTCAGTCCTACCCTGAACAACTTCTCAATCCAGCTTGGGGCTTCCTCAGAGAAACCCTAGTGGGACCCAATGAGCCTTGTAACTGAAGAGAGCCTGTACCAGTGGGGTCATTCCCCCACCCTCAGGTCCCAGCTGGGCCTCTGTTCCTAATGACTTCCAAATGGCCCATGTCTTGACAATGGGAAAAACTTTTTTGGACAAACAATATAGTCCATATGAGAGAGTCTGAGATGGAGATGGAGAGCTGCCATTGAGAGCCCCTTCCTAGGACTGTTCTGTACCAACAGTTTCTTCTAGTAGAAAGGTTGCAGAGCTAGGGAGTGACCCTGCTCCTGGACCAATAAAAGTGGTCCATAAACCTCAACTGCAACTTTTGGGGTTTTTTTTAGATTTCTTATTCATCCTTCTCTAAATGTCGGTTACAGGCTGGGCCCCTGCAGCCCTTCATTCTCCTGCCCTTCCTCCCAACGTAAAACTCTTTGTTTTTTTCTTCTGACCTAACTTCCCCAAACTCTGGCTCCTAGAGATTCAGCTTCCAAGAATGGGGCAGGCTCAGGAAGGTCAGGCATGCTCAGGCTCATATGGCTTCTTTTTCCCAGGGCTCTCTCTTGGTCCTGGCCTGCCCGCATCTTCCTGCTCCCGGTGTTGGTGGTTATGAGTCACTGAGCTGTCTATGGTCTCACATTTGTTTGCACCAGTATTGCTCCTGATAGGTTCCTCAAGGACCTTTCTCTAACCTTTCTCTAACCTCATTATTATACAGGTTGGAACAATATTCATTTCTAGCAGTACTACCCCACATAACAAAAGCCTAACCTATCAGTCAAACAAATCTTTAATGAGCAGCTGCCACCTGTACATCCCTGTGGGGAAGAGAGAAGGAAAGGACTCAGCCCCTGTCCTTAGGGCCAACAGTCTAATTGGGAAGACGTGACTAACATACAAAGAAACTAGAAAACAACAGCAGGATAGTGTCTGCCTAGTGCTAGATGAGTGGTATACCTAGCAAAGATTGTAAGAGGTCTGGGGGAAAGAAAGTATATATGCCCAGGACTCATTAGGAAAGGTTTCAAGAAGGAAATAGGGCATCAGCAGGGCTTTGAAAGACTGGGGAGTAGGAGCTGGATCAGTAGAGTGGAGGGAAGATAGCATTCCAGGTGTGGAGTGTAAATGAAGCCACTCATATAGCACAGGCAGAGGATGAAAAGGCAACTGTCCTGGCTGAAGCAGAAGCTTTGTTTTAGATATGAGTCGGGGAAAGAAAGTTAAACAGGTCACATAGGGCCCAATTATAGCAGGCGTTGTATACCAAGAAGGAGAGTTAGGATTGATGGGGGAAAGGAATAGGTAAACATAGATTCTTGAGAAGGAAGCAACATGATGAAAGCAGCGATTAAGGAGAATGAGTCTGATGGAATTTGTGGGTCTGGTATAATGTGAGGAAACTAGCAGGTAGATCCAATGTCCGGGTGTGTGTGTGTGTGTGTGTGAGAGAGAGAGAGAGAGAGAGAGAGAGAAATATGACTCTAAAGTGGCCAATGTCACATCACATTAAATGAGACCTAGGAACTTAGTACTTATGCCATGGGTATCTGCCTTTCTCTGCATCTGCTAGCTAAGCTTAAAGAATTCACAGATTCCAGGTTAAGAACCCCCAGTCTGAGCAACTCTCCATTTTATAGATAAGAAAACTGAGTCCCAGAGAAGGAAAACAATTTACCCAAAGTGACAGGACTTTGCCACAGGTTTGTGCTAAAGTCAAGACTAGATTTCAGGCCATCTGACTCTTGAGTCCAACGCTTCTTCCACTAGTAAAGAGTTGACCAAGCAGATCTTGCCCAGGGTAGATATTCCCTTCTAAGCCAGATGTTTTCCAGGAAGCCAAATGTTTTTCTTTGTTTGTTTACCATGTAAAGCCAAAGTTTTCCACTGGCCATAAGCAGTCCTGTAGCAGTGCCTGGGAATAATAATAATAATAATTCTCACCTTTTAATTTAAAGATTTATAAAATATGGTCTTCACAACAAGATAGTGAAGATGGTGCTCACAAATATTATTATCTTCATTTTTGAGTGGAGGAAACCAAGGCTCAGAGATGTTCATCAGTTATTAAGCAAGCCATATATTAAGTGGCTACTATGTATCTAGCATTGTACTAGGTGCTGAGGATACAGAGGCAAAATGGAAACAACCTCTTCCTTCAAGGAGCTTACTTCTATTAAGGAAAACAACAGTGCACAGAGAGAAAGATACAAAGTGTATATACAGAGTAAACGAAAGGTAATTTTGAGGGGGAGACGTGCTAGCAGCCAGCACTGGAGAGAGGGAGGAGGTTAGGACATGCTCATGTCAAAAGTACTGCTTATGCTGAATTTTGGAGTAAGGTAAAGATTCTGAGAGGTAGAGGTGAGATGGTAGTGCATTCCAGGCATGAAGGCCAAGGCAGAGGTATGCAGATGGGAGATGGGATATTGTGTGTGAGGAACGTGTCCACTGTCACCAAGTAGTAGGTGTTGAACCCACATCTCCTGACACCTGGGCTGGTGTTCTTTCTACCACTCCATACCACTCTGACTCCTTCTGGGAGTGATCTAGTTGTTCTGAGTTTGCCCATGCCCAATGGCAAGGCCCAGGGTGAAACAAAACTGGTGCCGAGAAACCCAACGGCACCTGAGCAAAAGGTCCTTCCAAAGAATAGAGTACACGATGAACAAAGCTGGAGTAGGGGTGGGGTAGCAGGACTTCAGGGTTGTCTCTCACTTTACTACTGGAAAACCTCAGATTCATTGGAGTGTGTGCCCCAAGGAAATTTAACCAAGATGGTGCAGAAGCTCTGAACCATGTCATGTGAGCTTCAATTGAAAGAAGTGGAGAGCAACTAGCCTGGAGAAGAGAGTGCTTTGGGGTGTTGGGGTGGCTGAGATATATGTCTAAAGAACTATCTCATGCAATAGGGATCAAGTTTATTCTGTGTGATCCCAGGGGGCAGCACTCTGACCAGTGGGATTGGGTTCCTGGGAAAGTCTTCTAATCAGTACTGCAAGGAAGAACTATTTAACAGTTAGTGTCCAATAATGGGGTAGACTGCTTGATGTGAGGTCATGAATTTCTTATCACTGAAGGTCTTGAAGCAGACTCAGAGAGAGAAGTTGGTCTAGATGACCTCAAAGTCCCTTCTGACTCTAAAATCCTATTCATTTGTCTGCCCCTTAATCCTCCTGTCTGTGAAATCCTCCCCCATATGGTACTATGGGGGGACTGGAGCCTCAGCACATCTCAACTTAACCCCTACCACACACCCCGTGACTTCCCAGTCTTTCTATCCCTCCATCTAGTACAGTATAAGAGGCTTTTATATTGGGTACCTACCTTATGTTAGCCTTGTCCTTTAGCCATACTGTGGAGGACAAAATCTGGTCACTTCTGTGAGAAGACCAGGGTTTATCAAATCAATGATTCAATCAATCAACAAGCATTTATTAAGCACTTATATATGACAATCACTATACTGAGTGCTCTAGATGCAAAGAAAGATAAATACATGGTACCTGTTCTCAAGAAGTTTGTATTCTAGTGAGGGAGACATCATGTAAATAAATACATACATACAAAATACATACAGAGCAGATGGGAAGTAATCTCAAGAAGGAAGGTTCTGTCCTAAAACTTTGTACGTATACTTTCCCCACCCCCAAGTACCCAGTATAGCATTTCAAACACCATAGACTCTTAATTAACATTTGTTGTCCCTGGTCTTGGGGAGCTGCCTGTAGTGGAGAGGACAAGATTTTGAGGCATGAAACAGTTAGGAAACAATACGAAGGTTCTGATTTAGAAACTGTGGGCCCCTGGGCAAATCCCTTTACCTCTCTGGCCTCAGTTTTCTCCTTCACAACATGGGAGTAACTGGACTAGATGGTTTCTAAGTTTCAGCACTAATTTTCTGAGTCTTCATGAGAAAAATCTCACCTCCCAGCATCCTGAGGAATCACTGATAGCAATCTAGAAAACCGGACCCTGGCAAAGAGGGATTGGCCTTGAGCATTTTCTGCCAGGGAGAGTGAAGGGATGAAGGGTGTGGTTAAAAAAAAACCAGTTAAAAAAATCAAACAAAGGCCATCTTGATCAGGCACTGCTTCCAAAATCCAGGTCAGGGAAGGGAAGGGTGGACAACTGTTGCAATGAGTGCATTTCACTTCATTCTGGGGAGGAAAATACTTTTCTTCAGTCCATCCCAAGGCTCATGGTCTGGCTTTACAATTTCGTTTTGATTTTCTCATTATGCCAACCAAGTCTTCAGGTGTTTCCATTTTACATGGCTGTCTGAATTTGTTCCCTGTGTGTCCCATCTGACCATTCCCCCTGAGCTGTGACCTCTCCCTTCCTCCCTGCCCATCTCATTATCATTTTCATTTTCTCCACCCTCCCCTACCCCTCACCCTGGTTTTTGTTTTCTCTGCCTCGCCATCACCATCTCCCCCATCAGTGTCTAAGAGACGCAAGGCCCACCTGCGGCGTCTGGATCGGCGGTGGACACTGGGCGGGATAGTCAACAGGCAGCAGAGTCGAGGTGAATTGGGGCATGGGTGGCTACAGAGGGTCCGGTCACTGCTTCACCTAACTGTTGGGCTGAGAGCGATGTAATCGGCAATGGCATCTCTTTGCTTCCTTTGGGACCAGCCCAACTGGTGTGCTCCCTAACACATACTCACCTGCCTCTGTCCTCTCTGCTGTGGGGCTAGGGAATGGGGCTTGGAGGGAAGGAAGTGGGGCTTCTAGAGAGCTGGGGAATGAAAAGTGGGGCTGGCCCGAATTGCTTCTTGGGAAAGAAATGGTTACTATGGACCATGCCTGATCTGGTTCAGCCTGAACAACTCTCAGGAAGCAATTGTGGGAGTCCTGCAGTGGGAAGGAGATACCATCCAGGGGCCCAGCAGCTTGAAGGAGCCGAATGTTTCAGCCTCTGGAGGCATTTTGGCCACCTCTGCTAGTCCTACTAATAGAGCCCTGTCCTCATTTGTTAGTCCTACAAATCTTATCTTTTCACATGGATGCTTTGAAACACCATCAGTCGTAAGTCCCAATCTGTGCTCCAGCAAGTCCCAGGAAAATTAAGAAGGGCGCAAACCTCCAGGTCAAATCTGGAAAGAACAAATTTCTATCACAGCAACTACAAATTCCATTACAGAACAAGCTGTAAGAAAAATGTTAGCCCAATTCAGAGCCTACTTTTTCTCCCAGTATTGAGTATAGCAAAACTTCATCTGTGATTATTGGAATACCCTCACTAAAGTGTGTTGTAAATAGACTTAGCCTAAATTGCATTACTAGGAGCCTATTCAGACTCCTTCTGACCACCTTAGATGGAACACAGGGAACAAAACTGCCAAAATGTATACCTTCTGTGAGCACTACTCCTTCACCCCACTCCCTATCAACAGCGGTTGTGTCCTTTCTCATAGGTGTATCTCAAGAAGCTGGGGTCTGGTGGAATAATCATTCAAAGGGATGAATGGAGCTCTTCTCTAGGTTATGCAGTCCCTGATACTCAACCTTTCTGTGCCAGAGTTTCCACTTCTGCCAACTCATGGAACACACCCAGAAGAGTGGCATAGTGCCTATGGAGTTCACTTGTGCCATTTTGTAAAGGCTTAGCAGGAGAACTCATAGTGGAGAGTCATCATAACCCCTTCTGGATAGTGGGAAACCTTGGTGTCCTCTCAAACAATGGCCCCTTTCCCAACAAGAGAGAGGGTGGCTACTCTGGGACTTCTTGGAGCTGGCTCACCTGGGAGCAGTAAGAGTTCATTTCCATATATACCCTCAAGCCAACAACCATCTATTCTTCCCACCTTTGGCCCCTCAGGAGCTGGATCAGTGTTAGAGCTTCAGGGATAAGTGACATGGAAGGGGGAATGGGATGGGCACTGGAATTTAGGCAACACTGGAGATGTTTCTTGGTTTCATTAGTTGGAGTTGAGCAACCCACTGACTTCTTGTTGCAGTAGACACAGATTGAGCTTGGAGTCATAAAGCTAGGCTATACCTAGATTGGTTTTTGGGAGAGAAGATTCAATGGCATGGACCAGAGATCTCTCGGTGAAGCTAGGCTATCCAGTGAACAGGGGCCAGCCCTAGGATTTCTCTATGGATTGTTGGTACCCCAGACAAAATAAAAATATTGCCATGAATGTATACCATTTGGGATGTCCCTGAATGCATGGTGCCCTGGGATACTGCCCAGTTTACTAGGACCTAGTTTGCCCTATGCACATGAATTGTAGGAGGAGGGACTAAAATCTGACAAAAAGGCCTGTGAAGGTCCCTGTGAAGTCAAGCCATCAATGAAAAAGTACACTGGGGAGAAAGGACTGAAATCCAGTTACCAGGCCAATCAATATCCCCAAGAAACCGAGTAACATGAAAAGCAGCGCACTGGGAAGAAGAGACCGAAATCCAGTAATGAGGGCCCAGGGATGACCCAAGGCCCTTTCCCAAAGCAGAGGAATTTGGGGAATAGACCAAAAACAACCCCAACAACAGCCCAGAAGGAAACAGCCCCTCCCACAGGACACCAAGAGACCAGTCTGGCCCAGCCACAGCTGACCCCTCTTCTTTCTGAGCTTGTAAAAGCAAACTTGTCCAAGGCAGCTTCGTTAGTCCTGGTTCCAGGACTCGATACAAACCAGCTTCACACAGTTGGACTCCAGCACCTTGGCCTCCTCTGCTTGTTTTTCTTTCTCACCGGGGATTCCGAGGGAAGAAATGAAACTGCTTTTCTCTCCAGCCTGTGAAAGACAGAGGAGTTTCCTCCTCAAAATGTACACACACACACACCCAACTATATCAGTATAACTATGGAAAGACAATCACACTTGGGAGGACATATGTAAAATGTCTATAGAGAATTATTAATTACTATTATTATTATTATAGCATCCCCCCCAACACACACAGGTACAGTCAAATACACAATCCCACAGACACATACGTATAACTATATTTACATAACACACAAGCACATCCACATCTATTCTTGCTATACAACTACATGCCCCAAACTCTACATATGCTGTGACAAGTCATGACTTCCCCCTCACACCTGAATCCCAGACTCTGATGACATTTCTTTACGTAGGTCCATTCCTGCACGGTCAAAGAAACTGAATGTTCAGGAGCCCACAACTCCAAACAAATATGCACACACAAACCCATAAATACTCTAACTACATATCCAATCATTCCTTCAGCTCCATGAAGGACTATTCAACTTAAGCATGCATGTAGACACATTTGCAGGCATACACATAGGCATAGACAGCAAACACTCTCCAAGCATTAGACCCACAAGGTTAAACTGATTTAACTAGAATGGAAAATCCTGCTAAGTGTGTTGGGGAACCAGTTTGTGGAGAACAGCCCTAGGGGGTGGGAGGGAGGCAGGCAAGCATGGGGGAAGCTGGTTGGTGAGTAACTGAGCAGGAGAGAAACAGGACTTTCCTCGAGGGGCCTCGACCAGGCCTTTGTTAAGGGGCCATTGGAATGAAGAGGCCTCTTTTTTCAGCAGAGGCTGAGTAAGTTGTGGGGGCCGGGAAGGGAGTGGGGGAGATTGCTGACGGAGGGGAAAGTGTCTGGAAAGAGAAGTCTTCTGTGGTTTGGAAAATGCACAACTCTCCAGCCACGTTTGGCTCCCTAACCTAAATTGGGGCCATTCCGTGCTCTCCCTCTTACCCTCCCTCCACCCTTGGCAAGCTCAATGCCTGGTGAGCTGGGTGGCCGGCAACAGAGGGACTGTTACCTCATGCCTGAGTATAGGTGTGACAGTGTTCTTAGAGCCTCCAGGAAGGAGCTTGGGAGAGCCTAGCTGCTTGAGTCACCTTTCTAACAAAGACATTTTCGGGAGAAAAAGCTTGAGTGACCCTTGACCATATAGTGCAATTATTTCCATGGGTCATTGGGTCCTCTGCTTCTCCAGGTTTCTTAGGCAAGCCTACAAGAGTTTTGTGGTTTATACCCTCTTGGAGTATTAGACTCCCTGCTCCTCTCCTCTCCTCTCCCCCACCCCACCCCACCCCCCAGCATTAGGGTAAGTGAGTTTGGAGCCAGAGGCGTCTTAGGTAGACATGGAAGTATAGGAGGTAAAACCACAGCTTTTGCAGACTCTCAGGAAAACATCTGGGAGGAGGTAGAACCCCTCCCTTCCTCTTCCCCTTTACAAGGGGAGGCTGGGGCCAAATGAGAGATGGTAGGGAAAGTGTTTTGCAAACTTTCAAACTGTAAATGTCATTTATACATGTCATCATGTCTGGGGGGATCATCCACTCCTGATGTGGGAGTGGGTTCTTACCAAACCTAGAACCCATGTGAGGTTAAGGAGCTCCTGCTCCTTCACCAAAGAACTCCTGACTGCTTTCCCAGTCCTTCAAGCTAAGAATGCCAGTTAAAGTGCTTTGCATCTAAAACCCCAGCATCAAAATTAATTCCCCAGACTTGTATGGTGGAGGGTCTAAAGAAAACTCACTCTTCTGTAACAGTTGGCCTAGCTTTTTGCCTTCTCCTATAGAAGGGAGCCGTTGTGATTTGAGGACTAGGGCAGATGCTGACTTTGGAGGCCATGTATCTTCATAAAATACCACTACTCTGCCAACCTGGCCCCCCATCCTTCCTCCCCCACCCCCCTCATTAAAAGGGAGGAGTGGTTGTGATTTTTAAAAATTATTATTATTATTATTATTATTATTATTATTATTTTGCTGTGAAAGCAACTCTGCAGAGGGAAACTTTAATGATGGCTTCCTGTTCAGGACCACAGGCTTTTAAAAATAGCATGGCTAAACAAAGGCACCATGTGGAGGGGACCTCGCCCATCCCTAACCTCGGAACTTTGGAACATGGGACCCAGCCCTGCCCCTCTGGGCACTGTAGCTGTGCAACATTTGCCCACACCATCCCCTCCCCCTCTTCAGCAACTGGGAGAAAGAAGGAAAAGAAGGTCCTGTTGGAAAGATGGGATGCTGCAGGCAAGAAGTTGTTGAATGGAGAGGATCAGAACTATGGAACACTGAGCTTCTGAAAGACCTGAATTGGAATTTGGCATGTGTGGGCTTCTCTCACGCTTCCTTGGCCTCTCTCCCTAGCCAGGTTGGACCAGAAACTTTCCAGAAGCAAGGCTTCTCCAAAGACAGCACCTATACTGAGTGGAGGAGGAAGAGCCAAAAATGCTGGTGGCTGGGGTAGAGGGAGACAGAAGCATCTGCTTCCAAAAAAAAAAAAGGTTCTGTTAAGGAGTATGAGAGAGCCAAAGGGTATCTTCAATACAGACTAACCAAGGCAGATTTACTCCTGCATGGCTCTGACTGTCCCAGCCACAATGATTGAAGTTGTCTCCAAGAGCAAGGCCACCAGCTCCAACCCCCAACCCCATTCCCCCAGCAGATTACCAGCCAAAGATGAAGATGAAGGGCCTGAACAGGGAGCCACAGGAGTAGTAATTTCCATTCTGGTCAGCAGAACTTTGGACAGTCCTTTCTACGCTGATCAGGATAAGAAGCCCAAGAGAGTGATTGTCATGCCTAGGAACTGTAAAGGAGGCTCAAGACTGTATTTTCTTCTTGGACCTGTCCACTGTCAACTTGTTCTTTAATCCTCATTTGGCATGGCCAGTTGCCTGCAGATGGGCCAGCCAAAGAGGGCTCTAACTCAGTTCGACTCCTCCCAAAAGGCAACGGCCCTATGGAACCATGCCCCTTTCTCCCACTCTGTCTGCTCCTCCCCATACTCCTTACCCTCTGATCATGAGGTGGCTGCTTCTAGGGGAGCGAGCCCTTCTTGAGAGATTTTTTGTTTCAAATTATTCTCCCAAGGACAGCGACTCAGCACCCTTGCCTTGCCACCTCAGCACCTCTCTAATCCTAGCCTTCAAAAAAGCCTACACTGTGACTCCTAGGATCTCTCAAGGCTAGGGAGGGGTTGAGCCAGGCTTTCTGCAGTTGGCTGGATGTGGATTGACCAGGACCAAATCTGAGGATTGTCCAGTTCAGGAATAGTCTGTAGGAGGTGATTAACTTGTCTTCCTCCATTTTATAGTTGTTTCTGGGATACTGATTGTAAGAGAGAAAAAGGGAGTAATGTCCCTGAAGTACTTTATATGATTGAGAAGAGACTAAAAGATGAGAACCAGCTGTCTCCTTATTTATGATGCCCTTGATTTAGGTTAATGTCTACATCCCACTTGAGTCCACTTAATGAGTCCCCAGGCCTCACTCCCAATACCTTTGTGATCACTATCACAGTGAGCTAGCAGCCAGGAGCTTGGAGGAGGGACCCTGGAGTCCCAGCTGTATTGTTAACACAGTGATCGAAGCCTAGTACGATGGTTTTCAATTAAAAAAAAAAACCAAAAAACCCTGTCATTTCTCTTTACAAAGAGAAATTTCTCTTTACAAAGAGAAATGTCACAATATCATTACGCCACCCTACCCCCAATTTGTAACGTTTGTAATACTGTTCCTGTAGAACTAATTGTCCCTTCCAATGTTATATCTTCAATGAGTTTTTGAGGAACCCGTTAACGAAATTAGATGGATTTTGCTTATACGTATACAATGCTAGTCTGTGTGGCCCAGACAATAAAAGCAATAGGGGTTCGCAGGGAGGATAAACTCACTGAAGTTACATTGAGCCTTGAAGGATGGATACAGTTTGAATAAGTGGAAGGAGGCAGAGGACATTCCAGATGGGCGAATGAGGCAAAGTTAGGGAGGCAGAAATGAGTAATTTTGTTCAGGGGATGGTAAGGAGACATGGTTTACTGTATTGGAGTTGACCTGTTAGGAAGGAGGGGAACATAAAACTAGAGCTATCCCAGGGCATTAAGAGGACCTTCACCTTAGCAAGAATCTTCCTGCTGTGTGGGGGCAGGGTGGGAAGTGGGTGGGGAGGTCTATAATAGGATTCACCAAATAGGTTCCAGGCAGCCCCTGGCAACACTACTCCCTGTTGGCTATCCAGGGAGCCAATTGGCTCTCAGTCCCTTTGGCTGCCCTCCAATGCTGTCAAATCAGGGAGGTTGGGGGAGCCAACTTTGTTCTTCCAATTCCCTCTGTCTTTCAGGTGGGAACAGTCTATGTGACTAGGTCCCCATGGTCCCTCATTTCAGCCCCCAGGGTCTAGCCTTTAGAACTACTCCACCATCCTGAGGTCTGAGATTGACCTTCAAGTTCCTGGGTTTGAGGAAGGGCTAGCAGTGCTTTGGGGAAGAAATAAATGAGGTTGGGGAGAAATTGTTGCTCATGGACCCAATAATGACTGTGCCTCTCAAATCCCTTCCCTTCACCCCAGAAGAGAAGTACGTCACAGTGCAGCCGTACGCCAGCCAAAGCAAAGATGAGATTGGGTTTGAGAAGGGGGTCACTGTGGAGGTGATCCAGAAGAACCTAGAAGGATGGTGGTACATCAGGTAATGTGCTTCCTTTAGCCCAGAGAGCTGTACACCCTGCATCTTATTACTCTGTTTCTAAAGACAAACCATTCCTGGCAGAGCAGAGCAAAGCCAGAGCAGCTTGCTTCTCACACTCTCCCCTTTTCCTTCCCTTCCCCCTCCCCCGCTGCAGAATGGGTGTCAGATGGTAATCAATTATTAACTGCAGCATGTTGTAGGGGCCTGGATGTGGGGGTGTTGGCAGATGGAGCCTGGAGATCTGAAAGGTTTGACCAAATCGTGCTTATCTTGCAGATTTCCTTCCCTGGAGGAGAAAAAATAAATGGAGACCCAGCCACAGCCAAGTAGGGGCAGTGGTTTTAGCCTCCAGCAGGCTGGGCCAGGCTTATACAGGCTATGATGCAATTCCCTTGGCTTCACATCTGCAAGAAGGTTTCAGTATGTCTGAGTTTGGTTTCTCGTGTCCAAACCGGGGCCATCTGGCATCCCCTCTGACAAGGGGGCTCTAGGCCACAAGGGCCATGACACGCTCAGCCCCAATTCTTGTACTCCCTGCTATAGTAAGCACTTAGCCTGGCTGCCAGTTATTTGGAACACCAACCAGTCACAGCTGACCCCAGCCTGAGACTCTTCCCCTGCCCACCTTGAAGGCTGGAGCCTGGGAGGGGGGTTAAGCCCATCACAAGTTTAGGAGCCAGGTCAGACTACTCAAGGAAATTCTGAGCTATCAGCCACCTGATGAAATGGGGCTCCCCCAAGGAATAAGATGTCCCAAAACGGGCATCTTGGCCAGAGAGCTAGAGACATGTGGCTGAAGTTGAGGCCAAAGGCAAACAACATAGATCCTGGATTGTCAGAGCTGGAAAGGGGCCTTTTTACAAAGAGAAACTATCACTCAGAGACAGGGCGAATGACTTGCCTAGAATCACACAAGTTAATGATAGATTTCTGATCTTCTGACTCTTAGAACATTGAGACAGGAATGTGAGTCAATTCTAGTCAGACTTTTAATTTAGAAGATCATGAGGGACTCCTCCCTGGACCCCTGCGATACCACCCATTGACCACAGAATCATGGGATGGCAGAGATCATCTAGCCTGGTCTCCTTATTTTTCAGCTGTAGAAACTGAGTCTCCTGAGAAGTTAGATAACTCCCTGCCTAGGATTACATACTGAGACGGTGGCAGAGTTAGGATTCTACTCCTTGTCTTCTGACTCCAAAACTCTTATTCTTTTCACTCCCCAATACAACCATCTAGTGACATCTCATGAGTGAGAGTCGTCAGGGACTCTGTGGCAAAATACCCCTGGAAGGCCATCTCTGAGCCTCCTAGTTAACTGACTGATTGATTGATAAGCAAAGGATTCATTCATTTCTTTGCAGATCATATCTTTTCTTTCCTTGAGGCTCTTGTCTCTTAGAAAGGATCCTTTCCTTGGAGAACAATGAAACGTGGCTCTGTATGAGTAATTCTTCTTAGCCTGCCATTCACTGAACTTTGCTTAACTTGGCAGAGAAGGTCCCCCAAACTTCTGGGCTCAGGGATCAGTTTCTGAGCCTACTTTAAATGTGTATAGGCTCCACCTAGTCTTTAGGCTCCCATCTCCTCTTCCCTCCTCATAACATCCTGTCTATTACAGACAAACATGATGCTCCTGACTCTACACAGCCATGGTCTGTATGTGTTTACAGTTGTGTGCGTAGCCATAGCAGTGGGGACTGGTCGTTCTGAGCCATGCACACTCTCACTCAGCTACTGGTATGAATTTATGCATTTTATGAAGGCAGCTGGCAGAAATGGCTTCCTCCTAGAACCCAGATTTCCTGATTTCTCATTCAGTGTTTTTTCCACTATGCTACAGCTGCTTTCAGTTCAACTCAAGAAATATTCATAGAATGCTTACTAAGCACAAGGTAGTAAGAGCTAGCAGTGGGTCAGTGGTACTAGAACCCGAAGTAAGACTTAGCCTAAAACTGTGGTTCTTAACCTGGGTCCTTGGACACTCTGCTCCCCGCTCCCCACCCCCAACCAAAGGGTCTGTGTTTAGATTTCAGGGGTCCATAAATTTTTAAAGGGAAAAATAGCTACATATTTATTTTCAACTTATCTCCAAACCTCCTCTGTAGTTCTATGTATTTCATTTTCTGCATTAAAAACTATTCTGAGAAGGGGCTCAGAGGCTTCAGCAGACTGCCCAAGGGGTCCATGACACAAACAAGGTTAAGAGCTCTTGATGTAAGAAGCCTAGCTCAGGGGTAGGGAAACCTTTGGCCTCAAGGCCACATGTGGCCCTCTAGGTCCTCAAGTGCTGCCCCGAACTTCACAGAACAAATCCCCTTAATAAAAGGATTTGGACTCAGTTAAAAGGTTGTACCGCAGAATCTAGAAGGCTACATGTGGCCTCAAAGCCACAGGTTCCCCACCCCTGGCCAAGCTTCTCTGGCCGGGCTGCAGCTGCCAGCAGTGAGGAAGCCAAACATGAAGATATGTCCTGTCCCCTCCTGCTCTCCAGGCTCTGGCATTGGTATCAGAGGCAGGATTTGAACCCAGGTCACCTGACCCCAGAACCACTCTGATACTGTGTGACCTTGGGGAAGTCTTTTCTCTACCCTAGGCCTCAGTTTCCTCATTGGTAAAAATAAGGGAGGATCAGACTAGATAGCCTTTGAGGTCCCTTCCAGCTCTAAGATACTTTGATCTTACCTGAGTTCAAATGTGACCTCATACACTTACTAGCTGTGTGACCCTGGGCAAGTCACTTAACTTCTGTTTGCCTCAATTTCCTTATCTGTAAAATGAGGATAATCACAGCGCCTACCTCCTAGGCTTGTTGTGAGGAGCAGAATGCCTGGCACATAGTAGGTGTTATCTAAATGTTAGCTATTGTGGTTGTCACTCTCTTGCTGTCTTTCCCCAGCCAGCTATCTCTCAACTTCTCATTCCCTGGTTCTCCAAGACAACAACCACCACCAAACTCATGACCCTGATGTGGATTCATTCCAGTAGCCTCTTCCTCCACCACCAGGTTCAAGCTTTAAGAAGGAACCTCTGATAGTCTGAATGGTCCTTACCTAGTTTCTGTTTCTATCTCTAGATTCTGTTGGGCTTGCTGTGTGACCTTTTTCTCTTTTCTGTGCCAGCCCCATTTTCCCATCTATAAAGTGAGGGAACCAGATAAGACAATATCTTCCTTATGGCTCCTGTGTTCTCGAGGTTTATCCTGTAAAGATCTGTTCCACCTTAAGAATGCTGCCTCGGGCCCCCTTAACTGTGATTTCCTGACATTCCAGGCTCTGTGTTCATCCTCATTTCCTGTCTGTTGCTCCATCTCCTTTTTTCCCTAGTTTCCTCCATCTCTGGAGGGATTCCAGGGCTCTCGAGCTGGAAAGCAGATGTGAAGGAGTCTGAATCCAGATCAGATACACGGAGGCACTTCTGAATTCTCAGCCTGTCTTTGCTCAGTATTTACCTTTGTCACTGTAACTCTGGAGACAAAAATAAGTTTTGAGGCCTGGGGCCAAGAAAAGGAAACCTAGGTCCTAATTCTAATTCTGCCATGTAGATGGGCCTCAGTTTCCTCCCCTATAAAATGAATTTTGGACTAGATGATCTCTAAATTATCATCCAGTTTTAACAATCAGTGTTCTATTCAGGATCCCTAGGTAGAGATGATTGAACAGAACTGTACATGTCTGTGAGAGGGGATCCAGGGCTAGAATCTTTAGCAAAGTTTCCCTATGTCTGTCTGGGCTTGCTCCTGTACATTTCTATCTTACGTGCTGAATCTCTCGGCTGATGCTTATGAGGTCACAGACTGACCTCTAATCTTGTACTTACTTTGGCCTTTAACTCTAGCCATGAACTAACCCCTAACTTGTAACCACACTCACCCCCTAATCTCTGCCATAGATTTACCCCCTAGCACTGGCTTCCGACTAACCCTTAAACTGATCGTAGGCTGACCTTCAATCCTGAACCAGGCTAGCCGCTAATGTTGGCCATAGATTTACCCTAAATCTGGCCCCAGATTGATTGTTAACCATGGCCTCCCACCTGCCCCTACTGAAGCAGGTGACATCTGTGACCATCTATGATGGGGCCCATCCTTCCTCTCCATAACCTATCATTGAAGCCCGATTGTTTGACCATGTGCATAGAAACCAAGCTAGGCCTGTTTTTGATGGAACCTCTGGTGTCAGAAGGTCAGACTGATACATTAATTTAGGGTCCCTGAGCCCAAACATGGAAGTGAATACCGATGTAAATGACCATGACAACCGTTCCTATTTTCCTGTCCCAGGCTCTTATATGCCAGTGGTCAGGAAACTTTTTTTGGGAGCAAAAACTTTCCTGTTCCAACAGTATTATTATTACAATTGACAGGAAAAGTAATACCTGACATTTTTATACTGATTTATTTTTCCAAGAGCTTTCATTTCCATTACTTCATATCCATAACTTTCCATTACCACACTCCCATGCAATAGGAAAGCAGAGATCATTCCCATTTGACAGATGAGAAAATTGAGGTTCAGAAGAGCCAAGTTATTTGCCCCAGTGCATATACAGACAGACGGGATTCAAACTCGGATGTCCTTACTCCTTGCCCAGGGCTCTTTCCACTACAGAATTCCAACATGTTGAGCATAAATGTGGTCTTTTAAGTGGCCTTCCTCAGGGTGGGACAAGAGTGTCCAGGCCTGAACAGCTTAGACCAGACTACTGGGGAGCCTAGGAAAGATTGACCCTCTCCCTTACCTGACTGTATCTTTCAGTCTCTAGTGGCCTGTAGATTTCAGGCTTTATGATACCAAGGCCATATGCATGAGACAAATGCCTCTGCAGAGTGCCTGTGACTCTCTCTCTCACTGGACCCTGCAGGCTGTGTTGAGAAGAGGTGCAGCCTTGACCTTAGGAGACCTGTCTCCTGGTTCCAGTTCTGCTTCTCACTCTGCAGCCTTGGACAAATCACTTCCCCTTCTCTGGGCCTCAGTTTCCTCCTACATAAAGAGGAGATTGGACTGCATAATCTCTAAGGTCCCTTTGAGCTCTAACATACTTTGTTCTGAGATTAAATCCAAGATGATCTTCTCCTCTTTTCCCCACTACCCTGGGGCTTTCTCCTGTAAAATGAAGCTAATAATAGCACTTACCTCCCAGGGTTGTTGTGAAGATCAAAGGAGATCCTATTTGTAAAGCACTTAGTACAGTGCCTGGCATGTAATAGGTGCTTAATAAATGCTTGTTTCCTTTGTTTCCTAGCCCTCCCCTGTATTTTGATCCCTCAGGCCTTCATCTATTGGTTCTGCTGTCTAGCAATAGTTGACTAAAGCCCCCAATCTTGAGGGCTCCCCCTTTTCCACCCTCTCCTGAAGCCTGGCCCATCCCAGGCAGAGGACCATAGTACTGACCCTCAGCCTGTCTGAAACTCATCCCAGGGCTATTATGAGCCTGATGATAGGTGGGAAAACCATTTGGATGAGAATTAAACCCTGTACCAGTGCCATAAACTAATTAGCATTACTGCTTTCATTTACCTTGACTTAGAAACCTGTAGAGAATCATATGACTCTGGATCCTTCATGCTGGGGAAACTGGAGCAAAAGCATTTTTATAAAGTCCTGAAGGACTCCCGAGTCCCCAGAGATTCCCTCTGAAAACAGTCCAAAGTAACAAAATAGAACAAAGAGGGAAATTAGAGAACCTCTCTCCTTGTTAGCCTTTCATCCTGTTTCCTTCCTAGAAGCAGGTTGGGTGGTATGTTGGGTAGAACACTGGGCCTGGAGTCAGGAACACCTAAGTTCAAATCTAGCCTCAGATACTTGCTGCTAGCTATGTGACCCTGGGCAAGTTACTTCATTGTCTGCCTCGGTTTCCTCAGCTGTAAAATATGATTATAATAGCACCTACCTCCCAGGGTTGTTGTAAGGATCAAATCAGATAATATTTTTAAAGTGCTTAGCATAGTGCCTAGCATATAGTAGGTGATTAATAAATATTTGTCTCTTTTCTTCCTTCCCTCCACTGTTACCCACTCCCCTTTATTCTAACCTTTTTCTCTGTGGTTTAGGATTATTTAGAATTATGGCAGGAGCTGGTGGGCTTCAGGCCTGAGAACATCATCTCCCCACAGTCTTAAGGATAACATTAGCTTCTCAGAGTGTTAGAAGGGACCTTAGCGATAATCCAGTTCAATTCTCTTATTTTATAAATGAGGAAACTGAGTCTCAAAGGGGTGGGGTGGCCCAGGGATGACTTGCCCAAAGTGACACAGCAAGTAACCAGCAGAGTCAGCATTTGAACCCAAGTTCTCAGACTCCAGTCCCTGTGCACACTACACTATACTGAGTAGCCTTCGCATGCAGCCTGCAAGAATGAATGATTGATTACTTGGCCCAGCCAGTCTAGACAGCTGATATGTTGTTGTCTGGGTCCCCTAGTGAAGTCAGTGCTCCTGCCTCATCTCCCTGTGGCAGCGAGCCAATGGATTAGGAGAGCTTTGGGGGAAGGGGGGGTGACACAAGGACTGCCCATAAGAGGGTCTTTTTATAGCACCACTGCCCTTTGACCATAACTTTCACTCACAGGGAAAATCACATTCAATAGATTCCTCAAATTTTAGAATCATAGAATTTTGGAATCATGAAATAATCATGGAAAGTTAGAGCCGGAAGAGTCTCCATATTTTCTAAGCTGAACTATATTGTGAACCAGTCAAATATTTCAGCTATCTGCTGGAGACCATTCTTCCCCCTGCAACCTCAGGACACTGGCTTTCAGCAGGTCGGGGGGGGGGGGGTCGGAATAGAACACCAGGAGGAGAAATTGAGGTTTTGAAAAGTTTATAATACAGATTTTAAGAAAAAAAGATTTTCAGTAGTAAAATTTTACAGGCCAGTTAAATATATCATTGTCTAGGAAACTGAGGCACAAAGAAATTTTATTGACTTACTTTTGTAATAGAGTACTGGTGTAGTCAGGAAGACCTGTGTTCGAATCCTGCCTCAAATACTTATTAGCTGTGTGACCCTGAGCAAATCATTTAACTACTCTATGCTTCAGTTTCCTTATCTGAAAAATGAGTGGATTGACCTTGATGATATATAAGATCTCCTACAGCTCTAAAACTGTGATTCTATGATCCCTTGGTCACATAGCCAGTAAATGTCACAGGTGGGATTTGAACCCAGATCTTAACTGGCTCCATGCCCAGTTCTCTATCCTCTGAACCACAGTAAGAGAAGAGAATGTGGCCATCATGGAGAATTTTTACATAACTTACTGAGCTGCATTTAAGTGGTGTGGCTTGACCATTGCTAATGCTACCTTCTAGGCAACCAAGCTTTAAAAAACATGGGGTCTCATTTTTATCTCCCAAATATGTCTGGTTTGGGGAGAAAAGCATATGAAGAAAGAACCAGGAGAGAGGTTTGGGCTACTATGTTGTGCTTTTTGTAACTTGTAACAGTTGTAACTTGTAACCATTCCCTTGGATCTGAACAGCTACTTCCTGCTGGAATGTGGGAGTGGATTTTTGATCCGGTGATGATAGAGGGAGAGAAGGAGCAGAGCTAGGGGAGATCAGGCTTGGACTTAGGCCATCCAAATAGAGACTAGGATGGGACAGAGGTGTGAAGGTTGGATATATGGAGGCCTGAGAACTCCCTAGGGCTGGACAATTCAGAGACATGGAGCCCAAGCACTAGTGTGTTAATGTTTAGTGCTCTCCTTGCCACAGGTATCTGGGGAAAGAAGGCTGGGCACCAGCATCCTACCTGAAAAAAGCCAAAGATGACCTCCCCACTCGGAAGAAGAACCTGACAGGCCCTGTTGAGATCATTGGTAACATCATGGAAATCAGCAACCTATTGAACAAGAAGACATCCGTTGACAAAGAGGCACCCGCAGACAGTGAGGGCCCCGAGGCCCCCGTCACCAAGAAGGAGATCAGCCTGCCTATCCTCTGCAGCACTGCCAATGGCAACACAGTGGGCACTACAGAGAAGCCGGGTTCAAAGCTGGCACAGGGATCACCAGCCGTGGCCAGGATCGCACCCCAGAGGGCACAGATCAGTAAGAGACTTGCTCCCTCCCCTTTTCCCTTGCTTCCACCATGATCGTTACTCTCAGCCAAGAACATACAGCTGGGAAAGCAAAAGCCTTTGGTTTCATCTTGGAATGAACTTTGAACTTCACTCTGTTCCCTAATTTCACTCTGATGCCCCCCAATCCCAATCAGAGACTGACCCCCTAATCTTAGCTACAGAATGACCCCTAATCCTGACCCCAGAAGGACCCCTACCCCTAGCAACAGCCTGACCTCTCACTCTATCCAACCATATGTTCACAAAAGGGTCTGAACAAGAGAGTGTAGATGGCTCAAGGAATCCATCCCCCAACTAGAGAGAGAGCTCCAAGTTCATATCCTATTGACCGTGAGCTAGTCACTTCTGTCTCCAAAGGAAAACATCCTATTTTTCTGGCTGGCAGATAGTTACATCCCTACAGAGAAAGAAAGAGGAGTATTATTTCTCTTTGTGTGTGTGTGTGTGTGTGAGAGTGTGTGTATGTGTGTGTGTAAGTGTATGTCTAGCCCTTACAACTGAAGCCACATGATTGTGTGACAGTCTACCGTGGGATTTGCATGCTGGTGCCGACGGGAGGCTCCTTCCTGAAGGCAGCATGTTTTCCACGAAGGACACACGTTCTAAACATTGGAGGTGTATTCTGTTACACCTGCCATCTTCTCTGGGGAGCCCTGACTATAGTCCATAATGGGGAACAGCCTGGGCAGTGGGATAAAAGTCAGAAAGGCTCAAGCTGTCCAACATTTGAGGCAGGAAAGGACTCCATAGTAGTCAAGCCACGGAGGAGTGATTTGGGGGGTTTGGGGGGGCGGGGTGGAGGACTTCTTTATGGAAATTTGGGAAGCAGATGTGGCCCAGGCTCCTTGCCTTTGTTGATGTTGTTGAAATAGTAGTACCATAGAGAGATTATAATGCTGGAAGGGACATCACATACCATTTAGACTGACCTCCTCATTTTACAAAGGAGAGAACAGAGGCCTAGAGAAGTTTAGTCATTTGCCCAAGGTCACATTTTGCTTCTTCAGTGTTCCAGTAATACACAATAGTCAGGACATCATTACTAGTAGCCATTACTGATACCCTTGGTCTTGATCTTGGTATCATGTCCTTTAAGCCTATCAAACTACAAAAGGGGAGAATATGCAGGAGGAAAAAAAAAAAGAATGGTCCCCTACACTTTTGTAGCACCTGCAATTGTCAGAATAAACACACACTGTGCC